GCTGCTTTTCGGTAGAATGTTCCGCATATATCTAAATCCATCTGGTCTGATGTATTTTAAGGCTGATGTTTCCTTATTATTTCTGTATGGATGATCTATTCATTGATGTAAGTGGGATATTAAAAGCCCTTATTAACACTGGATTGCTGTTAATTTCTCTCTTTAAGTCTGTTAATATTGCTTTATACTTTTAGGTGTTCCTATGTTGGGTGCACAAATATTTGCAAACGTATCTTCTTGCTAGATTGAGCCCTTTATCATCATGTGATGCCCATCTTTTCCTTTTATTACAGTCTGTTTTAAGTCTATTTTGTCTGATATAAGTGTAGCTACCCCAGCTTACTTTTGGTTTCCATTTGCATGAAACAACTTTTTCCATCTCTTCACTTTTAACCTGTATGTGTCACTACATCTGAGGGGAGCCTCTTATAGGCAGCATATAGATGGGTCTTGCTTTTTTTTATCCTTTCAGCCACTCTATATCTTTTGATTGAAGAATTTAGTCCATTTATGGGGGGAGGGGTTGCCCTTTTCATCAAAACATTTATTAAATGAATAACCACACTCAGCCTGAGTTGTGTATGGGCTATTAAAGGCTTAAATCCTTAGCTAAAACCAGGAAAACTGCTGCCCCTTCTTCACCTTCACAGAGCAGTTACTGTTCATAGTTGGGCCAGCCTTATGGGCTGCGAAAGGGGTAAGTATCCCAGAGCAAGATTCTGCTGAACTGGAATGGGGCCAGGGATGAGGGCACTGAGCCAACCCCTCTAAGCAGTGATCTTGTGCTCTGAAGACAGATGGGGAACATGAAGGCTCTTTTCTGGCTAGGATGAGGCATGTAGGTGATGGAAAAGAAAGCCAGAGAGAGGCTGGGGAAAGGAGACAGGAATTGCTTTTTATTGACTTGGTAGTGCGTTCTGCAGTAGAGCCCCTTCAGGTTTAAGGGCATTTTTTTCTGCTTCCTTTCTCCTTTCTGCAACTTCTCCTGCTGCCTAGCTGCCATGCCTGTAATCTAGCATCCATTTCCTCTGACAGCAATATAACTCATCTTGCAAACTTCTCCCTTTGGGCTTTTCTTTGAAGCTAGCCTTTCACTGGAGTGCAGGGCAGCCATCTGTGTAAGACCAGTTTGGGAACTCTGTAAGGGGCCCTTAGCCAGAGGGGTTGGCAGCCAGGCCCCGTCTGGGTGGAGAAAAACAGTCCGGTGAGGATTCAGCCCAGCTTCTGGTCCCCCAGTTCTCCCCAGACTGGCACTCACTGGAATTGTCACTGGCTGCCCACCTGAGCCACCACACTACTGTGCAGCCTCGGGACACCTAAAGCAACCATGCTGAAGCCACAGAGCCAGAAGTGGGCATCAGCCCATTTATGTTTAAAATAACTATAGATGGGTATCTACTGTCATTTTGCTATGTTTCCTGGCTGTTTCGTAGTTCTCTGCTCCTTTTAACTCTTGCTCTCTTCCTTTATGGCTTAATGTCTTTCTTTGGTGTTATGTTTCCATTCCATTTTCATGATCTTTTGTATATCTACCATACATGTTTGTTCTGTGGTTTCCATGAGGCTTACATATATTAGCCTATACATATACCAGTGTATTTTAAGTTGATAGCAAGTTAAGTCTGAATGTACTCTAAAACTCTACATTTTTACTTCCCTTCCCACATTTTATGTTTTGGATGTCACATTTTACATCTTTACATTTTGTATATCCCTTAACTAACTGTTGTAGTTATACTTATTTTTACTACTTTTATCTTCTAACCTTCATGCTAACTTTATAAGTGATTAGTCCACTACCCTTAATATATATATTTACCTTTACCAGAGAGATTTTTACTTTCATATATTCTCTTGCTACCAATTGGCCTTTCTTTTCAGCTTAAAGTACCTTTAACGTGTCTTATAAGTCTATTTTAGTACTGGTGAACTTGTTCAGTTTTTGCTTGTCGGGAAAACTTTCTCTCCTTCAATTCTAAATGATAATCTTCTCAGGTAGAATATTCTTGGTTGGAAGTTTTTTTGCTTTCAGCACTTTAAATATATCATGTGACTCCCTTCTGGCCTGCGAAGTTTCTGCTGAAAAACCTGGTAAGAGTCTTGGCGGTGGGGCAGGGGGGGGGGTCCTTTGTACATAACAATACATAAAAAGCTGTTTTTCTCTTGCTGCTATTAAGATTCTCTTTAACTTTTAACGTTTTAATTATAATGTGTCTTGGTGTGAATCTCTTTGGGTTCATCTTATTTGGAACTCTCTGGGATTCCTAGATCTAAACGTCTGTTTCCTTCCCCAGATTAGTGAAGTTTTCAGCTAATATTTCTTCAAATAAGCTTTCTATCCCTTTCCCTCTCTTCTCCTCTGGGAGACCTATTATGAGAACATTATTCACTTGATGTTGTCCCATAGCCCCCATAAGGTAACTCCACTTTTTTTTTTCTTGCTGTTCTTTTGAGTCCCCTGGTCCCAGTCACTAATCCTTTCTTCTGGTTCCTCTAGTCTGCTGTTGGAACTTCTGTAGTGTGTCTTTCAGTTTAGTTATTACATTCTTCAGTTCCATGACTTCTGTTTGTACTTTCTTATGTTTTCCATCTCTTTCTTTAAGTTTTGTGTTTATCCATTCTTCTCCTGAGACCAGTAAGCATCTTTATGACCATTATTTTGAACTCTTTATCAGGTAAGTTACTTATCTGTTTCATTAAGTTTTTTTCAGGGGTTTTATCTTCTTTCATTTAGAACATATTCCTTTGTTTTCTTTCTTCCTTGACTTTCAGTGTCTGTTCCTATGTATTAGGCAAAACATCTATCTCTTCGGTCTTGAAGGAGTGGTCACAGAAAGACTGGGATATTTCAGTCTGCTATCTGTGTAGTGCTTTGTGGGTATTAGCCTGCCAAAAACTCTGACTGGTTCAGTCCCATGGGTCCCAGAAACACAAGCCTCCCTGGACACCAGAGGCAGGTGTTCAAAGGGCATTCCTTCTATGGACTGCCATACTTGCCAGCTTTGGCAGGGCCAAGGAGGACCACTAGGCCAAGGCAAAGCTGCCTACCAGCTTTCGCAGTGTGGGGCTGCAAGGGGCACTGGGCCAGGGGAAGCTGGCCCAACAGGTTTGGTGGGGCAGAGCCACAGAGGAGCACAAAGGCAGGGCAAACAACTTTTACAAGGTAGAGAGAGAGTGCAAAAATGGCACCTGCCAGTGCTGGTGCTAGCAAGGTGGAAGAGTGCAGAAATAGTGCCCACCAGTGCCTCTAGCCACAGAGAGGGTTCCAACAGACACCTGTCCCTCTGACAGGCACTTTGAGCTTACCCAGTGAATCCCTCACATATGGCCTAGGCACCTCCAAACTGCTACTTTCATGCTGGGTCCCAGGACAAGTAAGTCTGTGTGTGAATACTTTAAGAGCAGAGTCCCAGTTTCCTACAACCCTTGGGTTTCCTTGATGTAAGCCCCATTGGTTTTCAAAGCCAATTTTGAGAGCTCATCTCTCTGGTACAGGTCCCAAGAGTTGGGGTTCCTGATGTGGGGCTCAAACTCCTCACTCCTCAGGGATCCACTCCATATTTGTTAGATTCCTCCCTCTTGTGAGTCACTGAGTCGGGAGTGGGGTTCTTGGTGAGACCATGTCTCTGCCTCTCCCACCTATCTCGAGGTGGCCTTGGATCATTTGTTTTGGAGGAGTTGTTCAGCTAGTCCTCAGGTCTTTTTCAGAGACAGTTGTTCCATAGGTATCTGTAGATTTGGTGTGTCCTTGGTAGAGTGAGTAGGGTCTTCCTATGCCACCATCTTGAACCACCTCTCTGTTCTTTTTTAAATCCTCCTTTCTCTTTCCCACTTTGATTTTCCCTTTCTTCACTAACATTTGTTATACTCCACTAATAATGGATACAGGCTATGCTGAATCCCTATGTCAAAAAGTTCAAAATTTTCAGAAATAGCTAAACATTTTCCAAAATAAGGTCTGTTATTATCTCCCTTTTTTTTATAAATGGAGTTTCTCACATATTCTTATAAAGTATAAATAATATAGTTCTTTATTTATAGAATAGCCTTCTCTAGGGGCGCCTGGGTGGCTCAGTCAGTTGAGGGTCTGCTCATGATCCCAGCGTCGTGGGATCGAGCCCCACATCGGGCTCTGTGCTCAGCGGGAAGCCTGCTTCTCCCTCTCCCTCTGCCTGCCTATCTGCCTACTTGTGATCTCTCTCTCTCTTTCAAATAAATAAATAAAATCTCTAAAAAAAAAAAAAAAAATAGACTTCTCTATGCTCATAAGAACACCCTGAACAAATTTTACATTTTTCTAGGTGATTACTGATTATGGCAACATGCTACAAATATAGCTATGTACAGGAAAGAGATCTGATCGTATTCACAGCAGTAGACTTGAAAACTTCTAAGTCACCTATGAGTTATGTTCATTGCCTCTCCATAAAGAAGTGATGAATAAGTACCTACAAATGCTGCTAAACAATGTTAAATAGTTTCCCTTTCTAGTAAACTGGTGTCTCCTTTTCTCAACTATCACTCAGAGAATCTTTTCTCTTTTTTTTTTTTTAAGTTTTTTAAGTGAACTCTACCCCCAATATAGGCTCAAACTCACAATGCCAAGATCAAGAATCTCATGTTCTACCAATTAAGTCAACCAAGCACCTTGAATCTTTTCTTTCTGAAGTAGAATCTTTCAGAAAAGAAGATCCAAAAAGCCAAATAGCTGTCACTGCACCTTACTTATATTTTGATTAATTATATATGTGCAAAAGCACACTGTTCCCACTCTTAAAGAGAAAATATTCGAGTTTTCTTTCTCTCTTAGGGAAAATACACATTCCTTATTATTTTCCTTTACACAATCAAAAAATCCTCAACCTAAATGAGTTCACATTTTTTTTTCAGTGAAGCTTGATAGGTAGGCAGCAACTCCCCATTCTTTCTCTACAAGATTTTACTGAGCTAACCTTCAATAGGGTAACTGTGATCTAAGATGATGAACCCAGAGTACTTGCCTTTCCAGTCTTCTCCATGCTTCTGTAACTAGGGCTGCAACCAGGTCATGGGCCTCAGTAGCACACCTCAATAAAATCAAGAGAAAATCATTTTCCATACATAAACACTTTTAAATTATTAAAAACAATTATGCAAGTAAGAATTATAATGCAAAAGTGAACTTCAAGTTATCGTACTCTTACACAGTCCTTATTTCTGGTCCATTCCCTTTTCAGTATTCTGTTTCCTTGATACAATATAATAAACATCTACATTTTATCCCATGCCTCTCTCATTCTTTTATCTGTTCAATGCCTTCCACTGAACAATGAAAATGTTTAATGATACATATTATAAGTACACATAATATATATTAATTTGCTCTGATTACAAAAATATTTTTATAGGAGAGAGTTTGTAAAATAAAGAAAAACTTGAACAGGGTACTAAAAATCATTTATAGGTATCTGTACTAATAAATAACCACCATCATTAGTTTGGAACATTTCATTCCAGTTATCTTTTCTACACACATAGGAAATACACATATTTCTTTTACACTTTTATATTCTGCCTTTTTCAGTAAGTTAACATTATATTATGGACATTTGCCCAAGACATATTGTTCACAACAATTTTTAAACATTGTACACTATTCCCTTACGTGAATATAATATCATTTAAACACACAACTACTTCTAGAATTTTAGTTTTTCAATATTATAAAAAATGTTGAGATGAGTATCAATGTACAATAACCTTTATATGTATCTCCAATTACTTTCTTAGGATAAATCCTAGAAGCAAAATTATTGGATCCAGGCTATTTTTATAGTTTTTGATATATACTGTACCACCAGAGCACATAAGAGTCCCTCTTCCAGTATATCTTCATTAACAATGAATACTTTCTATATAACTAAAACACATATACTGTATTTTGTATGTATAAAAATCTCTTTTTAACCAATTTCAACATCTTTATATTGTTAAGGCTATATCAGTTTGTCTCCTAAAAATCAAAGACTTTCAGGTTGAGCCATGAAGCAAAATTGAACTACATGTTGTTTTTAAAACTTGAAAACAAAATTATATTTTATTCTTGAAATCCTTCCATTACTAAAATATGACTTAGAAGGGAAACATAGAAATATAGTTTTTAGACAAATCATCACCAAGCAGCATTTCTCCATCTGCCTAACAGAAATGAGTCTGATGAGGTATTTAACACAATGTTTTGGTAAGTTGGAACCTGACCTTGCATAGATATTTATAATATATATTAACATATTAAAGGCTCTGAAGAGTCCTGCAAAAAATACTTGTTTAATTTTGTCTTATGCATCATTTTCCAAGTTAACATGACCACTGAGAAAGGAAATGTATACTGATATACAGCCTGGATAATCATGTGAGAAAACTGCTGTTTTTCCATCAGTGAGACAAAGAAACAGACTTATTGCAACTTTTGTATGTTATTTTTCTCTTATATATCTGCTAGATACTTTATTCAGAAAATCCAGTTCTTCTGCAGGCTGGATTCCCTTGCAAACAATGTAAAATTTCTTTTCTTTTTTTATGCTTTCCCAGCTTTACTGAATTATGATTAACAAATAAAAATTGTGTATATTTAGATTGCAAAACAGGATATTTGATATACATATACAATGAATATCCTCTAAACATCTTAAAAATATTAGATGATCAGGAAAACTATTTACAGAAAAAAACCGCAGTTTTTCATTTTAAAAAGATTTTTAGAAAATTAAGATATAAAAATAAACTACAATCATTTCTATAAAATCTGAAAGTACATTACTTACTGTTGTGTGATGTACAAGACATTCACCAGGGTATCATCATTCATGAATTCCATTTGACTTGTAGCTAAATTATGAAGAGTAAGAAATTGGGGATGGTCTCTGATACATTCAACATTTTTCAAAAAGCTGGTCTTCTGCTTTTGAAACTGCCAAAGTATATTAAATGCACATTCCACTTGCTTTTCTGAAAGTATGGCTTTGTTTTTTTCAATAAGATCAAATACTTGCTCTTCATCTGTACACGTAATCATCTGGCTAATTAGTGGTTTACAGCTGCAGGTTCGAAATTGAAACACTCTCCAGGAGAACGGACAAATAGCTCTTAGGCGAAGCATATTTACAAACAATGAGTCTAAAAGAAAGGTAATTTTTCATTTACATCACAAATTTTCTTAGGTAACGAAAACCATTTGCAACTAGTAGTCAGGTGCAGTATGCTGATAAAAAGGTAACTATTTTTCCTTCACGTATTTTGCTTCCATTATAACTCCAAATCCCATTCATTCCAACATGCAGCTTCTGTAAAAGGATTGGTTTAACATGGTTATGCTAATATTATTAATAACAAATGAGTTCCAAAATTCAAATTAAAGTAACAAGCTTTTTCTGCATTAACTAGAGACCTTGTTCTTTTTTTTTTTTAAAGATTTTATTTATTTCAGAGAGAGAGTACACAAGCAGGGGTGGGTGGGGGGTAGACAGGCCGAGGAAGAGGGAGAAGCAGACTCCCCACTGAGCAGGGAGCCTGATGTGGGGCTCGATCTCAGGACCCTGAGATCATGACCCGAGCCGAAGACAGATGCTCAACCAACTGAGCCACCCAGGCACCCCACTAGAGACTTTGTTCTTAGTCTGAAGCAAACAGCAGGATTTGGTCCGAAACTAAGTGTCCAGGAAAAAGGACTTCTTTCTGCACTCCATTTAAAAAATGTCTGTTAAATCTGACATATATGTAGCTTTCAAATTTGATCACAAAAGCAGAAGGGAAAAAAATCTTAAACTCAGAACCATCTTTTTAAACAAATGAGTCAAACTATTTGCAATAAATAAATATATCACCTTTTTTTAAATTTTTTTTTTAAGATTTTATTTATTTATTTGAGAGAGAGAGAGAGAGCACATGAGACGGGGGGAGGGTCAGAGGGAGAAGCAGACTCCCTGCCGAGCAGGGAGCCCGATGCGGGGCTCGATCCCGGGACTCCAGGATCATGACCTGAGCCGAAGGCAGTCGCTTAACCAACTGAGCCACCCAGGCGCCCAATCACCTTTAACATGTTTACAAGGAACAGCCATTAATTCAGAGCCATACATTTTTTTTTAAGGTTTTATTTATTTATTTGACAGAGAGAGACACAGCAAGTGAGGGAACACAGCAGGGGGAGTGGGAAAGGGAGAAGCAGGCTCTCCGCGGAGCAGGGAGCCTGATGCGGGGCTCGATCCCAGGACCCTGGGATCATGACCTGAGCTGAAGGCAGACGCTTAATGACTGAGCCACCCAGGCACCCGAGAGCCATACATTTTTTTAAAAACGTTTTTTCAGGTGGTTCAGTCAGTTAAGCATCTGCCTTCAACTTGGGTCATGATCCCAGAGTCCTAGGATGAAGCCCCATGTCTGGCTCCCTGCGCAGTGGAGAGCTTGCTTCTCCCTCTCCCTCTGCCCCCCCACCCAACTCATGCTCTCTCTTGTTCTATGTCAAATAAATAAATAAAACCTTTTATAAAATAAGTGAACAAATAATTTTTTTCAGGGGCACCTAGGTGACTCAGTTGGTTAAGCAACCGACTCTTGGTTTCTGTTCAGGTCATCTCAGGGTGGTGGGATACAGTCCAGGACCAGGCTCTGCCCTTAGCACCCAGTCAGCCTGAGATTCTTTCCCTCTCCCTGCCCCTCTGCTTCCCCCTCCGCTTGCAAGTGTGCACTCTCCCTCTCTCTCTAAAATAAATAAGTAAAATGTTTTTTAAAAATTTTTTTCAGAATAGTTTCTGGTATATTTACTTTCAGGATAATTTCTTGCCCCTTTCTTCTGGTACTCTAAAAGAACTCAAATGGTTTGGTCACTATTGACCTTAGATCAGTTTAAACCAATAAGCAAGATGATTAAAGCTCCAATCAGGACATATAAAGAAATCAAGAAATGTATCAAGACATGATGAAGCAATTTAAGAACCGAAGATAATTATGAAAAAGGATAATTTGTTTTAAAAATACATTATAAATGTTTATATTTCTAATTCAGAAACAACAGAAAAGCTGGGACTAAAATCATAGCATCTAACACTTCTGAAACATTTCACAAAGGACTTCTAAAATACATTATTCCATTAAATTCTCTCAACTAACCTATCAGGTAGATATTATCATTTGCATTTTACAGATAAGAAAAGCTATTTTCAAAAAGGTTAAAAAACTATTCTAGTACTTGTGAAGCTGAGACAATCACCCAGTTATTTCAATTCTTTCAATTTGTAACACCTTACATCAACAAAACCAACACTAAAAGATTGCCTCAGACTCCTCTCTATAGCTATGCTAGGCTGTTCACAAGAAAGAAAAAAAACAGTATTGGTACTTTGTGGCTATCAGTACAGCATGCTGACCAAAGCCAACCTGGGTCACACACATACACAAAAACCCTGTACACAGCAAGGATATCTTCAAGATTCTCCTATCTACCCACAATAGAAAATGGACGCAGGGGCGCCTGGGTGGCTCATTCGTTAGGCGTCTGCCTTCGGCTCGGGTCATGATCCTGGGGTCCTGGGATCGAGCCCCGCATCGGGCTCCCTGCTCGGCAGGAAGCCTGCTTCTCCCTCTCCTACTCCCCTTGCTTGTGTTCCCTCTCTGGCTGTCTTTCTGTCAAATAAATAAAACCTTAAAAAAAAAAAAAAAAAGAAAGAAAAGAAAATGGAAGCAGCTCAATGGCTAGAATACCAACACGTCAAGTCCCCAGATCTGCCCCCAGATAAATGACCTTGGGGAAGGCATTTAACCAAAGGAGGGGCCTTGGGACTGTGAGTGCAGGGTAAACAGTGAAACCCTGTGTAAATGACAAGCATTCTCCACGCTGGGCGCACAGTAAGCCCTGAACCAATGAAAGTGATCTCCCGCGTCCCCTCTAGCAGTGGGCTCAGCCCTGCCCTCCTCCAAGCACTGGAAAAATCCAATACCCGGAAGGAGGTTCTCAGCTAAACCCTGCATCTCGGGACCGAAAACACGCTGGGTGATAGAAAACCTGCCGCCGCTACCCGGCCCTGACTTGCAGGTTAAGCTCTTCCCTCAACAAGCTCCAACTTTTCTGGAGGATTCCAGGTAACGCTCGTCACGATAGCTCAAAAGTCAGGGCTATTTCTGGTCCCCAACAAGTGACGTAACAGGCTTGGTTGTGGCGTTCCCTCCCGTCCCCCCACATCACATAGTTTGCAGCCTTTCCTCGAGAGACATCACCTATCTTCTGACGATCCAGTCCCCAAACCGGGAGAAAACGCCGGGACAGCAGAGCGTGTTCAGCGGAAGGCACGTACTACATGCCCCAGAGGACGCAGCGGCGAGGCCAACGGAATGGACGTCGCTTACGCATTCGCGGGGAATTCTGGGCATTGTAGTTCCACGTTGAGAGACTCTGGGACAACACGTTTTAAACTGTTGAAGTTACAGGTGCTTTAGGTCATTGTTTCCCAATCATCTGAGGTTTTCTCCCAGTCCATGGAAGACTGATTATTTTAATAATATATAATAAAAAATGGGACGCGTGGGTGGCTCAGTTAGTTAAGCGTCTGCCTTTGGCTCAGTTCATAATCCCAGGGTCCTGGGATCAAGTCCCACTTCAGGCTCCTTGCTCAGCAGGGAGCTTGCTTCTCCCTCTGCCTGCTGTTCTCCCTGCTTGTGCTCTCTCTCTCTTTCTCTCTCTCTCTCTGACAAATAAATAAAATCTTTAAAATATATGTATAATAAAAATGAATATTTAGAAAATAGAGATTTGAAAAGGTAAACAGGGAAAAAACAGGTGGATTTTGTTTCTTACAATATTCAACATATATGAAATAACTGTCAAATGTCTATAAGAGTAAACTCTTACTCTCAGTATCAGCCCTTGTGTCACAGTGAGGCCAGTCTTTGGAACCGTACTTTTTTTTTAACAGCTTTAAAATAATTTACACACCGAGCAATTTACCCATTTACAGTGTACAATTCAATGTTTTTCCTAATTAGCGTTGTGGAGCATCACCACAATTCATTTTAAAATATTTTCATTAAGTCCAAAAAGAAACCGGCTAACCAATAGCAGTCACTTCCCATCCCCCACCTCCAACACCATAGACAACCGCTAATGGAGAGCACATTTTGAGTTGCACTGATTTAGATTGTTTGGAAACAGATCAACTGATAACAAATTTGAAGATTGAGGTTGACCTTAATGCACAGAATAGATAGAGTTTCAGAACAAACATCAGAAAAAGCATAGGGATGAAACTGGGCATAACCTGTGTCAATACCCTTCAGTCAAAGACCTATAGTTAAAGTTGGGATTACTGACCAGTTGCAATGAAGCAGAACACACCCCAAGGAGTGTCAAATTAAGAAGGTGTTAGAAAGAACTTATTATGGTATTCAGCCTTGTGTTAAGTGATTTGGGGCAGGCTAAGGGAGCTTTTCTCTGGACTGGATGCTGTGAGGAAGCAGGGATAATTCCATTATTGGGTAACTTAATAAACTTTGTCTATAGGGCAGGAGGAATGAAGTGAGGTTACAGCTGTATTTGATAAAGAGGGAGCAGTCACTCATAAAAGCCAGGATAGGTAGATGTTTGGTCATTTTTTGTGATTTGGACAATGTTCTTGTTTTGGTCTCAGTTCTGTATGATTATGGAATGGTCTTGTCTGTGTCTTGTTCCATCATAGTCAGATAGTGGCCTTGTCTCATGTTGGTGTTCTGTGCAATTGTTCAACAGAATACCAACGCTGAGCTATGAGTGCCAGACCAGCTCCTGGCAACAATAAGGCCTAAATAATAGTGTCAGGACTATCTAGAAGAAACTAACTATAGTTGCTTCACTGTTGGGACCTGTTCATCTCCTTCTCACCAGTTTGCAAAATTGTAAGGAGACTGGCCTAAGAAACGAATACCAGAAGCTTGCCTTCCTTTGGAATCTTGTTTATGTACGGAAAGGAAACCCTTTTGTTTAGTCACTGTTAGCAACTTTTTTCTTTACTTGCAGTCTAGGGCATTCATAAGATATATATTTATGTATAAATCACACCTGAGAACAAAATTAAGGTAATAATTTAAGTCCATAGCTATAAAATTGTATTCTAGCTGAAGCATCTTTTACAAGAGCTAACAAGTGGGTAACAAAGTATGGCTCTTAATTTCCTCCTAGCAAATGTCAATGCCCTTCAGCCAAAAATCACAAGAAGCCTGCAGTTGAGGTTTATTACTTGTTGCAGCTAAGGAAAATGCACACTGCAGGGAATCATTTAGCTGCTCAGTAAAAGAGTACTAGAAAGAAACTGTTATAGGATTTGGGCTTTGATTGGGTAATTTTGGGGAAGGTCTAAGGAAGAAAATGTTTGCTCTATCTTGGGTGCTCTAAGGAAGCAGGGCAATTCTATGATTGGGCATCTAATACATCTAAGTATAAGAAAAGCAGACTAACGGGGGGATAAAGCTGAAATTGGTAAAGAAGTAGCATTCACTCATTTAATGAGAGGTGTATCTTTGGTATTTTGTGTGGCACGGTGAGCTTGTCTGATGTCAATGTTCTGTGAGATTTTTTATGTCCAACAGGAGGACAATATGCTTTAAGCCCTGCCAGAATAGTTTGAAATAACATTGAGTCTTTTTTTTTTTTAAGATTTTATTTATTTATTTGACAGAGAGATAGAGAGAACAAGTAGGCAGAGAGGCAGGCAGAGGGAGAGGGAGAAGCAGGCTCCCCGCCGAGCAGGGAGCCCGACGCGGGGCTCGATCCCAGGACCCCGGGATCATGACCTGAGCTGAAGGCAGCCACTTAACCAACTGAGCCACCCAGGCACCCCGAAATAACATTGAGTCTTAACAATGAGCATTAGGCCAGTTTCTCCAACATCAGAGACTGTTTTCTTCCCCCTCACAAATTAATTTGAATGTTTTTCTCCTGGAGTAATTCTGCCAGTAAAAATGTGTTTGTTGTATATAACACCAACAGCACAGTCAAGAAGAGAAAAACTAAGTAAATTGGACTTCATCAAAATTTATTTTTTTTTAAGATTTTATTTATTTATTTGTCAGAGAGAGAGAGAGCACAAGCAGGGGGAGTGGGAGAGGGAGAAGCAGGCCCCCCGCTGAGCAAGGAGCCTGATGCGGGGCTCGATCCCAGGACCCTGGGATCATGACCTGAGCCAAAGGCAGACACTTCACTGAATGAGCCACCCAGGCATCCTTGACTTGATCAAAATTTAAAACTTTCATTCATCAAAGAACACTGTTAATAGAGTGAAAAGGCAACCCACAGAATGGGAGAAAATATTTGCAAATGATATATCTGATAGATTAATATCCAGAAAATGTGAAGAACTCATACAAATCAGTGAAAAAAAAATTTTTCAATGGGCAAAGGACTTGAACAGACATTTCTCCATGGTCACAGGCACATGAAAAAATGTTCAACATCACTTATCATTAGGGAAATGCAAACCAAAGTACAATGAGAGACCACTTCACACCCAATAGGATGGCTATTACTAAAAAAATCAGAAAATAACAAGTGTTGGCAAGGGTGTGGAGAAACTGGAACCCTTGTGTATTACTGGTGGGAATGTAAAAAGGTGCAGCTGCTGTGGGGAAAACAGTATGGTGGTTCCTTAAAAAATTAAACAGAATTATCATGTAATCTAGTGATTTTATTTCTGAATACTCAAAAGAATTAAAAGCAGGAACTTCAGCAAATATTTAAACAGCAATGTTTGTAGCAGCATTATGTACAATAGCCAAAATGTAGAAGCAACCCAAGTGTCCATTGACAGATAAATGGATAAAGAAAATGTCATATATACATATAGTGGGATTTTATTCAGCCTTAAAAAGAAAGGAAATTCTGACACATGCTACAACATGGATAAACCTTGAAGACACTTTGCTAAATGAAATAAGCCAGACACAGAAGAACAAATATTGTATGATTCCATTCATATGAGGTACCTAGAGTAGTCAAATCCATAGAAACAAAAAGTAGAATAGCAGTTACTAGGAGATGTGGGGAAAAGGTAATGGAGAGTTGTTCAGTGGGTATAAAGCTACAGTTTTGCAAGACAAAAAGTTCTAAAGATTGATTTCACAAAGTGACTATACTTAATGCTACTGAACAATACACTTAAAAAGGGCTAAGACTGGGGCACCTGGATGGCTCAGTTAGTTAAGCCTCTGGTCATGATCTCAGAGTCCAGGTCATGATCCTGGAGTCCAGGTCCCCAGTCAGGCTCCCTGTTCGGTGGGGAGTCTGCTTCTCCCTCTCCTCCCCCCCACTGTGCTCACTCTCTCTCAAATAAATAAATAAAATCTTTTTAAAAAATATTTTATTTATTTATTTGACAGAGAGAGAGAGCAAGAGAGGGGACACAAGCAGGGGGAGTGGGAGAGGGAGAAGCAGGCTTCCCGCTGAGCAGAGAGCCCAATGCGGGGCTCCATCCCAGGACCCTGGGATCATGACCTGAGCTGAAGGCAGACGCTTAATGACTGAGCCACCCAGGTGCCCCTAAGTAAAATCTTTTTTAAAAACAGCTAAGATTGTGTATTTTACTACAATTTAAAAAAAAAAAAAGGTATTCAATTAAAAAGAAAAGGGCAACCTCACTGGCAATAAGGAAATTACAAAATAAGATGATAAGATTCTTTCATCCATCAAATTGGCAAAAACTAAAAAAATTGGAAACCTTCATGAAGGAAAAGAGCCATTTTTATACAATCTTAAAGTGCTTCAACCTTTCAGGATACTAATCGGGCACTATATGTCACATTGAAAAGTGTACATATTCTGAGATGCATTAATCTCACTTCTGGCTATCTTTCCTGCAGATTTATAAGCATCAATACATAAGGATATATGTAAAAGATGTTTATTACAGTAATTTTTGTATTAACCAAAACTTGAAACAACTGAAATGTCCAAGAGAAGAATGGCTGGATATATTGTAGTATATCCATACTATGGAATGGTATATAGATATCAAAAAATGCACATAATATATTTTTATGCAAAGAAAAGCATTTTAAGAGTAATATGTGTGAAGGGATCTCATTTTTGTTGAAGGAAGGGAGAGAAAATTTTAAATGTTAGTACAGGAATAGAATATTATTGGGTATCTCAAGGGAAAGGAATTAGAAAAAGTTAGAATATTATTGGGTATCTTAAGGGAAAGGAATTAGAAAAAGGGGCAATTATTTTTAAACCTCTATGGAATGTTCAGAATTTTACAATACCTTATATTATTGTAAAATATATGTGATAACAAGCATGTATTTTTGAAAAGTTTAACATTTTTGATGATATGATTGGTGATATAGAAGAAAATAAGAACAAACAATAATTTGTCATTTTCTG